TTTTTTTTCTGATAATTAGCGTTGTCTCTAATTATTGTGGGATAATACAGTCCTAATGTTATTTTCAGTGATCGTCCCGTAAATACATAAGTGTTTCTTTGTTTATGAAGTGAACGTCGTCAAAAAAGGCTACATCTTGAAAAGGTAAATGTCTCAATGCGTCCTTGAGGTCGTCACATGTGCACAAAAGCAGTTGCGTAATGTTACATAACTTACATGTTTCGCAGCTGTTTGAGTTACAAGTAAATAGTGAATTTGAGAGTAATATTTATTTTTGCTACATCATGCAAATCGGTATCGCAGTTTGCAAATCTAACCGCAGCGTAGAGGAGTTTTGAGTGCAGTAAGAATGATTGGCTTAACGAGAAATTATTTTATTTAATTTATTTTCTTAATGATCGCATTCTAGCACTTTCTTTCCAGTTTGGAGGGAGCTTTCTGAAGTACGTTTTTGTCTAATTTTGTCCTCAGCTTCATGGTTTCCCTAGTTTGCTATAATACTTTATTGTTCCGATTTGTGTATCCAAACAGCCCACAGTACAACTATCAGTTCCAAGCAAGTCCGTTTTCTTTCGCAAATGTTCAATTTTTTTTGTAAAGTAACGAGCGATGGCAATTTTTTTTACTAAACTATAGCTATTAATTCTTTGATAACCTCGCTTATATGTATGTATCAATTTCAATTCTCTCTCCTCTTTATTTATGGTTTGCACGTATTTTGCTTTGTCGATTACGCTTTTGTGCACAGGTTACATTTGCGAGACCACCCCCTTGAAGATCTCAAAACGATTGGAAGGATGATGGATTTCGAGTTCTATAGGAATAATCCACCACCACCGTTTTTGTGCGTGGACGTGTGCCAAATATCGCGTAAGTATCGATAAAGTGGTTAAATGTTTGTGTTCTTCAAAGATTGCTTTTCAGCTTCTCAGTCGGCTTCGACGCTTTCTGTTGCTTCAGCAGGAGCGAATTCGGCTAGCCCACCTTCAGAAGTTCCACCTTCAGAAGTGGCTGAAGCCGCCAATTCAGCAGCCACCGAATTCGTTCGAGGTATATTTGGCGACATGCACATTTGTATACGAAGAATTTATCTACTTATAGAGTCGTCTATTGACAATCTTCCCGACAGGGCCTTGATCCATGTTGCACCAGATGAATCCACACTCGTAAATCTTTCTCCTTAAGTCTTTGTTATTAAAGGAGGATTGTCATCCTATCTTAGGAGCGAGCTTCTGCAAATCTATCGAAATGTCAGGAGGAACTGCGAGAAATGAAAATGGAGGCAATTAAAGCACGTTTGCTGAGAAACGAAGAAAGGCGATTAGCTCGATTGGAGGCAGAGGTGAATTTTATGTGGAAATTTATACCGTTTTGCATCTTAGAAGGTTGTTGTGTCTCTACTTTTTCTCGTCGCATGTGGGTCTTCCTGGTTTTCAATTGCATTTTGCAGAAGATGCCGAAGAGTTTTCTTTTGCATGGAGCAGTATCGCCAGTCAAACTCTATATTTACAGAGAGCTCACCTAGATGGAGTGGGAAGGACTTTAGCTACCCTTCGAGGGATAGAAAACCCTGAAGATTATAAAAAGGAAAGAATTGTTTTGGATTCGAGAGGTGTACCGATCTCACAGCCACGTCGTCGGGTCAGAAGCACTTATGGTGGGAGTTTTGTATATTCCATTGCTTTTA